TATTTATTTGACAATAGAATTCAATCTAAATTTCTCATTTTTTATTTTTTATTTTTGATACGGTGACAACTGCAAACATTGCATTCACTGATCTGCTACCGTCATTTTCAGTTTGTTCAGCCGATCGCTGTGATGAAGGATGGCGGTATTCACCGCATTCAGGAAAATGTTATAAATTTTATCCAAAAGACAGTTCATGGGCTTTAGCAGAATTCAAATGCTTTTTTAATGGTGGACATCATGTTTCCCTGCACAGTGTATACGATAATCAGTTTGCAAGAGGTGAATTTTTTTCTGCAAAACATTCAGCATTGATTATATTACTGCTACAGATTTAAAAAGAAAAAAAAACATCAAAGACAGTTTAATGAAGCAGATTTACTTTTATTTCATATCTTTTGAATATATTTTATTATCAACTAATAGAAAACTTTTACTTTGTTTGTTTTGCAGAGTTAGCAAAAGGAGCTAAAACAATATGGCTGGGTAACGCACAGTTTGGAAAATCAGTTGATTATGTTTGGACTGATCACTCCCCGTACAACTATGAGTCATGGCCACATGGTTGGTCTTGGACGATTATTATGAGCTTTAACAATCACTCTTTATTTTACATTTAACACTTAAGAGATCTAAAAATACTGCTGTATACTTTCAATTTTGAGTCTTTTCTTTTTGATACATTTATTCCAAAGACTTAAGTTGTTCTAAATGTACATTTATTTTTGAATAATAACGCTAAAATAGCTAGTAAGCATTGGAGGTACAAAGGTTCTCTATTTTGTTCTTTCTTGAAAGTAATTTTTTCAGAAGAAGTGGAGATGATTTTCCTACATAATTTCTATTTTTTGATTCCTTTTTTTTGATCACTTTTTAGTAGCTACAGTAGTTTATCGCGACTGACAGTGGCAGTTAGGTGTGCATATTTCGCTGACATTGGATAGTTGGCCAGAAATTGACATTAGAACAATTTACAGGAATTCGACCGCCAAGGATCAGCGGTAGGCAGTGTACTAAAATGAACATTGTAACTGGAGAGTGGTTCCAGAGTTGCTGTAAGGTTCCGTCGCCGTACATCTGCCAGAAAGACGCCAGGCTGGGTTCACAGTACGATTCTCATCATCAGAAGTTACATAACATCGTCGACAACAGCAATGTACCACTTTCTTGATGTTGCTTGTTGACAGAAGAAAAAGTTTTTTACACTGTTTTTTTTTCTTTTTTTTTTTTTTTTTTTTTTTT